CCTGCATCAAATACTCTATCATTTCACATCACGTACAGGTAGGTAAACACTCATAGAGACATTGTCATATACCTACATCAATTAATATCTCATTTCACATCAGGTACAGGTAGGTAAACACTCATAGAGACATTGTTATATACTTACATCAATACTCCATCATTTCACATCAGATACAGGTAGGTAAACACTCATAAAGACATTGTCATATACCTACATCAATTAATATCTCATTTCACATCAGGTACAGGTAGGTAAACACTCATTGAGGCATTGTCATATACCTGCATCAAATACTCTATCATTTCACATCACGTACAGGTAAGTAAACACTCATAGAGACATTGTCATATACCTACATCAATTAATATCTCATTTCACATCAGGTACAGGTAGGTAAACACTCATAGAGACATTGTTATATACTTACATCAATACTCCATCATTTCACATCAGATACAGGTAGGTAAACACTCATAAAGACATTGTCATATACCTACATCAATTAATATCTCATTTCACATCAGGTACAGGTAGGTAAACACTCATAGAGACATTGTTATATACTTACATCAAATACTCTATCATTTCACATCAGGTACAGGTAGGTAAACACTCATAGAGACATTGTCATATACCTGCATCAAATACTCTATCATTTCACATCACGTACAGGTAGGTAAACACTCATAGAGACATTGTCATATACCTACATCAATTAATATTTCATTTCACATCACTTACAGGTAGGTAAACACTCATAGAGATGTAGACGTTGATTTTAATAACAACGAAGACTGGGTTCAATTAATATATTGTATATTCCATATGTACAGGTCATGTTATGTGTAGTTCTGTAAATAAAATATTTAACAAATAATTCACAGACAAACAAACATACACATACATCACACAAAACACTGAATTTTCTGGCTAAGGGAAATAACTCCATTTTCCTCATAACTTTAAGGATCATCATAAAATAATCATTTCAAGCATTATATTATTCAATTCATTATCATAAAATAATTTACTTTTCACTATAAAGATATCCATTCATAGTATTCAAATGAAATTCTATTTACAACACAAATAGACATCACAATATACACAAACTTCACTAAACACAAAGCTTACCAAATATATGGTATATGAACTTGATCTTCTTGATTCTTAATTTCTCAGTCAGTCATAACTATAATAAATTATCACATAAAGTAAGTCTGACTGATTATTGGCAAAATATATTTAAAACTCATAAAAAATAATATTTTACAGAAATCTCATTCACATAACTTTCATACATCATGCTCATGATTAATAATGTTAAAATGTTAATAAACTGACCTGTTTAGTATATACAAATTGTCCATAAGTCCATAGGTCTGGTATACAAATTGTCAGTAAATCATTTTGGAGTCAGTAAAAATACACTGCTCACTCTAAGGATCTTTTTTGAATGTCTAAAAAAATTACTACAATAGTGAGCTTCTCACCAGAGTAGCCAGTCAAATACCTGGGTTCACCCATGCATGAATAGCATGCTTGACTTAATGGGACACACTATGGAAAAGCCTTAGTGTAATAAATATATACAAACGCTCTTACTTATAACTATTTAAAGTATGGAAATACATTATGGACAAAAATTAAAAACAATAAGTCAATGCTGTATTTTTATTAGATAATATCTTTATTAATAAAAACACGCAGTCACAGAGACATTGTCATATACCTACATCAATTAATATCTCATTTCACATCAGGTACAGGTAGGTAAACACTCATAGAGACATTGTAATATACCTACATCAAATACTCTAATTTCACATCAGGTACAGGTAGGTAAACACTCATAGAAACATTGTCATATACCTACATCAATTAATATCTCATTTCACATCAGGTACAGGTAGGTAAACACTCTTAGAGACATTGTCATATATTTGTACTACTCCCGTACTATCATTGCACATCCGGGACAGGTACTGGTAATTCATCCATGATTAATTCTGCTTGGAATCTATTAACCATTTCCTGGTTTTGAATAACTTTTATCAAAATCTGTAATAATCAAGAAATTTAGGACAGGTATTACAAAAAATTTTATGTTTAGATTACTGTATAGGGGGAAAATAACTCGCGGTGTTTATATTTGCTATATTCATGGTGTTTATAAATCCGTGAATTCAAGAAACAGTGAATAAGTTTTGAATATTAAACCTCAATGTTTTATTTGTAAATTTGAGAATAGACTATGATAGGTATATATACGTACAATACATGGTCATTCAGTAATTAGGAGTAGTACTTAATTGTCATTCAATTATTTTAATTATCACGCTTTACTTTAATTCAAGTAAGCGCTAATATCCTGTATTTATTGTTAAAAAGCTGTTCTAATAGATACATGTTTCATCAATCAAAACACATGGGTCATGGGTTTTGATTACCCATGCGTAACATTACCACGTGTATTTGATACCTGCATTAGCATTATGCGTATTAGTTTTTATGGAAATTTTGGATTAAAAATATATCATTCGAATAACTATCGAACTTGCTGAAGATATGGAAGGATATTATTACGTCTACCTACATTAATACATTTATTAGCGTCCAGTATTTTTTTTTTGCAGTGATGTGTATTCCTTCGGAAAGATGTGTACACATGCACTCATCGTAAAAGCATATAGGAAAGTCATTTGACGTTTATAGTAAAAAAATTTTAATAACGGCACTTGTTTTGATTAGTCATCAATTAACTACTGAATCTAACTATAAACCTACCCTGTTCATGAAGTGAATACATAACGCTGATAAATGTCGTTCTTGCTATACTAGCTATGGATTACACGGTTAAAGACAAGGAAGGTAACTTTTATTATACACCGATTCCGCGAATTCAACAAACTCCGATCGTGTCTGATTAGAGAAAAATGTGAAAATTACAACCCGTGAAATTAATCCCCTATACAGTATTTCATACAATATTTGAACTTGCAGTTCTTATTATACCTCTGGAATGTAAATGTGTAATAATCAGTAATAATCAAGAAGTTTAGGACAGGTATCACAAAAAATGTTATGATTTGATTATTTAATAAAATATTTGAATTTGCAGTTTTTATCATACCTCTGAAATGTAAATGTCAAGTGCATAATTTACATTTCTCTCACAGCAGTGTGCAGTTTTCTTTACCTTGCTGGTAAGGAAATCAATCTAGAAAATTGATAAAGAGAAATATCATTCGTGAAGTACAATTATATTGTGAAATACACACCAAAAATACTCATTGTGGTAATGTTTTCAGGATATTCATGAAATGTTTCAAATTTAATTCCCTAATGCATGAACATACATCAGGTAATGATTGCCCACAAGAACGATTATATGTAAAAAAGTTTTATAAAGGTAGACTCCTCTCTTCATTGGTTATAGGAGAAGAGCATTAAGAATGTATCATTTTCCTACAACTATTTTTATGAAACCAAAGACAGAAAGAATAAAACTTTACCATCTTTTCTGACAAGGCCATGATACTTTTATTTTTTTCTATAAGCCACTGCTTCCTCCCTGAGTTTTTGCCTTTGGTTATCTCCATTCTAAATGATGGCTTTTCCCCACATTCTATTGACCTGATAAGTTTCCACAAAAGACTTGAAATAAAAATAAGAAAGAAAAGAATTGAATGTTTGGGGACATTGATGAGAACAATTGTATTAAACATTGTAGAATGCCCATACTCCAGCTTTAAATAAGTTACTGACCTGTATGTCCATTTTCTTTAGGACTTTATTAACATCCTTGTCACTCTGATAAAATGAATGACTGAAATAGATAGATTAATTGATAGATAGATAGATAGATTGACTGCATGCTATCATTACTCTAGGAAAATAATCAATTTATTCACTCTTCGAGGTTATCTAAATCAAAGTACATGAAATAAATTTAGGGCACTTTATAATTACTCTTTAAGCTTGTATGGCATTGGAATATGGCATCCACAGTATGCAGGTTCATCATCTATTTCAATGCAATGCCTATGATAATTCTGGCCACAAAAAGTGCAAGATAATTTTTTATTTTTATAACAAAGAAACATATTATATACTGTTTATACTGTACATGAATTTTTACTCTTTATAATAATATAATCATTATCATTGAAGATGATAATTTGTGTTACTCTAGCATTAGACGGTTTTCTATTTTTTGACATTTTAATAAGCACCAACCAAGATCACTACATCTAGTACTACATGTAGATAGACTAATAAAGGCATGAGAATATTCACTCATCTTTAAATTGATACATATATTTATTTATATTACATTGAAAAAAAATATATCTACTAATTTTTTTCTGTTTTTATCCAATATTTATTAATATATATTTTTTTATGTTGCTACATCTATGAGAACATCTACCATGTACCATATTTAATTATAATACCACTTAAATTTTTCTATATTTACTCCATCACCAAACTTACCAGTAAATTGAAATATACAAAAAGGTGTACATGTGAGAGGAAAGATAATAAGTCTGCTGACAATAGTGAAAAATGAGTTCTGGGTGAGACATACATGTAAATACTAAAATATAATAAATACATCTGAAGGTTAAAGATGTCATAGTAAGCATATTAATCTTGATGATATTACTAAGAGAATGATTTAGAATTGATGATTTTTTTCATCATCAATGATGAAACACTCTGGGATGAGGTGTGATTTTGTGAAACGAGGATATATATATGCAGTCTCAAGATGTTGGATGAGAGCACACACAACAAAAAGCCCACACACTCCAACAACAATTTAAACAACTTACCAGTACTCTGCTGTAATAAACAATTTGTTGAGAAAAAATGAAATATTGAACACAGTGATTTAATTCTAAACCCCTTACTTTCATTTACATGTATTTAATATTGAGTAATAATATTTTTACAGTAATTGAAAATGTATATGACAATGAAGTCATCTTTTTTTAACTCTCGTTCACCAGTAAGAAAATATAACTTGCCATACTACAGCAAAATATAAAAGAAAAAAAAATCATTCTTTTACCTTCAAAAGTTTCCTCTATGGCACTAATTTCAGATGTATCAAAATCAGTCATAAAATATTTAGGATGCCAGTCTGCATTCCATTGCTTTAGATACTGCAGACCTCTCATTATTGACTTCTTTGTTTCATCTGCAGTAATAAAGCAGCCAACAATGGTGTAACCAACATTGGTGTTGAAGCATACAAAGAATGCTGGTAGGTCATACTTTGTTGTTTTGTAGGTCGCATCCAACAAACAGATTTCTTGACCATACAGATTGAGTAATCTTTTTTGCCATTCTGTCTGGCCAACAAAGAGGAAATCTTCAGTTCTGTAATAAATTTTCACAACAGTAGTTAATATAATGAATTCATATACAAAAAGATTTATCTCTAAAACTGTAATGATAGGTATATTAGATATATATATTTTATAATGGTTGTTATGCTGTACATTCCTTAAATTTCTTTTTCCACATGATGACCATTTGTGTTTACCTGTACATGAAATTTGAGAACTTCTTTGTAAGATGAGAAAGTTGTAGTGATTTAAAATGTTTCATTTTTAAATGAATACGAAAAATAAGATAAGTAAATATACCTTAATTTGCAATTATATTGTTTTGCAAATTAAACAATATTTTACTAATGATATTAAATTACATGTACTAGTAACTGAATAAAGAATCCATGCACATACTCAGATATATCAAGATAGAAGTTGTCTTTTTCATTCGTGGACTTATATTTCTTCAACAACAACTCAAGATTTTCTTTATCATCCTTGGAATATCTATACTTATAAATTAATAAATTTTGCAAATAAACTTCGAAACGGGTGCACCAGAGTTCTTACTTACTCCTCTAAGAATACACACGATACAAGATGACGTCCGTAAACTATATTTAGATTTCACTTGCATTGTAAATATCGTACATTAAATTAAAAGTCTACTTTTATTTTCTGTAAACAGCCATGAAATAGCAAAAACGCGAGTACGGTGGCGTTTCCGGTTGGCGGATCTAAGTTACTGGCAATTTTTAATGAAACTGGCTACAAGCAATCGTTTATTTATTTCATTAAACGTCATTACTGAATTATTCAATCAAAACTTGATTTAAATGATATAAAAGAAATAAGTTGTGATAACCGATTAAAAAGGAAAATGTGCAAATTATTTTCGTCATTCACCGATCGTAATATTGACGGAAGCTTCTAGAACATCATATAGAATTACATGTAGCTGCTTGCCTTTAACATAAAAAAGGCTTTTGTGTGAATGGTTATTGAAATAATGGTAAATCATTGATAACACTGTAAGTTGTGAATATATTTATATATCGAAAGACTATTACATATAAATGTATTTTGTAGGTTTTCCTAATAAATTTATCGGTAAAATTTGTATATACTCCTCACTGAGAGCATCGTGGCAACGAACCCGAAGTACAATTTGGATTTCGTAATAAACCTGCTTACATGAAAAGAGAAAAATTAATGAACAAGGCATTGTTCAAATACAATTATGCTGTAAAATTTTGTGCTTTAATCAATTCATTTCAGTTTTTTTTTCAGAATACAGTCTTTTGTATCAAATACACGGCCTATTCAAGTGGCGGATCCAGGAATTTTGAAGGGGGGGGGCGACCAGTTTGGGGTAGGGGCCCACGGACACACCAAAAAAAATTGATTATTAAATTTTATGTATATTTTGGACACAAAACGGGAGGGGGGGGGGCCTCCCTCTAAATCCGCCAGTGTATTCATAGGGCGTTATATAAAAACTAATTTTTACACAGGTACTTGGGTCTTGGATTATAAACCTGTATGTACCTTATTGATTTGTTTAAAAAAAAAGAGATAAGGTACAGTTTTTACATATCAATAAGGTGCATACATATTTATAAACCAAGACCCATGTACCTGTGAATTTTTACCAAAAAAAAAATAATCAATTTCTCAGTAAAATGTGCATTTCTTGACGGAAATGAAAAAAGAGTATCTGAAGTACAATACAGTATATACAATATCCATAACATATAGTATATAACAAGTTTTACAATAAACGTCAATTAATGAAATTAATGAAATTAATGTAATTGTTATTGTAGTTTTACAAAGGAGGGTGGGGTGGGGGTGGAGACGTACTTCTACTTCATGCGGGATTTTGAACAAAGTATTTCTTCCTGCTATAAGCCTGTAGGCTGTTAGTAGAAACTACAATATATAATTTAATGGATTTTTTCTGTCGATAGGGGTATAAATTCAATTCCCAGCGCTTGCGCGGGATTTCATCTAGTCTACAATAGAAATTAACGAAAATGATTAAAAACATGCACACATCTTATCTCCTAGATTCCTTGCATGGCTTTTAAATATGCAAATCAATCAAGTTTACATTTCATTAAATACATGCACAACTAATTTTTAATATATAAATTTAATGAATTATATAGACGTTTGAATTTATATAACCTAACCTTGTTTGATTTTTATACGAGTCCATCACATTTCTGATATCCTTATCTAATGGATAGAAGCGTCTATTTTGTGTGGATGTCTTTCCAAGATCTTTTTTACTGAAACTCTTAAGATGACGTTTCATTTCAGCTACTTTTGTGACACCTTCGTCCATAAGACATTGAATTTTTTTCTTAATTACTCTGTCGACAGGCTGACAAAACCCTGCAAGCTTAAGAATTAAAAAAAAAAAACATTGTATAGATTAAAGAAATAATGAAGCCAATATACTTAGAGGTCAAATTTTTGAAGCATATTACATTAACAAAGTTATTATATGTTTTTTTTTAAATACTTGTCCAGTAACATGGTTCCTAAGTTCAGCCTGAGAGGGAAAAGGTATATGAATCTCCTCTTCCCATGCCACTTGGTCCTTTTTCTCGTCAAGTGCAGTTTTATGTCTCCTTGACTGGTCTTTTCTTTTCCAGATGGAGTCTGGACCATTGATCTGAATATGAACAAGAGGCCCATGGGCCACATCGCTCACCTGAGCACATTGGCTAGGAAAAAAAGCAAAAATCAGTTCAGTATTGAAAAGTTAACGGGGGAGAGGGGGGGGGGATTTTAAACTACCTAACAATGCTTTCATATCAATATAACAAATGACTTTGCTGTTCTTGAGCAGAAGATTTTTTCCCATATATTCATTTGTAAAAATTTGATCCCCCATTGTGGCCCCACCCTACCCCCGGGGGTCATGATTTGAACAAACTTGAATCTACACTACCTGAGGATGCTTCCATATAAATATGACCAATCATGGCTTTGTTGTTCTTAAGAGAAGATTTTTAAAGATATTTTCCTATATATTTCTATGTAAAACTTTGATCCCCCATTGTGGCCCCATCCTACCCCCGGGGGTCATGATTTGAACAAACTTGAATCTACACTACCTGAGGATGTTTCCACATAAGTTTCATCTTTCCTGGCCCAGTGGTTCTTGAGAAGAAGATTTTTAAATGATGCCATTATTTTTTCACTAATTTCTAATTATCTCCCCTTGAAAGAGGGCGTGGCCCTTCATTTGAACAAACTTGAATCCCCTTCACCCAAGGATACTTTGTGGCAAGTTTGGTTGAATTTGGCCCAGTGGTTCTTGAGAAGAAATGAAAATTTGAAAAGTTTACAACAACGCCAACGACAACAACGACGACAGACAACGGACAAATTTTGATCAGAAAAGCTCACTTGAGCCTTTGGCTCAGGTGAGCTAAAAATCATCCTCGTTAACTTAAAAGTAACCAAAGTACATGAAGTATGCTAATATTATACAGTTAAAGTATATAATTGAGGGAGTCTGCAAGATTCCAGTTCCCCAAGAGCAAGTCTATTTTCCAAGGCACAACCGAGGGAAATAGACTTCTCGAGGGGAACTAGAATCTTGCTGACTCCCTCAATGATATACAGTTGAACTTTGATATCTCATACACGAATATATCAAATACTATGGATCATGTCAAAGTGATTGAAAAGTCCCAAACCTTTTTTCTTTAAGTATTTCACCCTCATTATGTCGAACCCTCAGATATCTCGAAGTTTTTTCTCGGTCCCATCGAATTCGAGATAACGAGGTTTGACTGTACTTTAACTGTTTTACTATACCAATATCAAAATTAGATTTTTTTTTCAAAACCTGTAACTGCAACTCTATTTTATATGCAGTGCAATTATAAGCTGAGCAATGGAAATATTAATTACTCAGAATATAGATAAAATAAATAAATTCATTAAAGGGTCTATGCATTTGAATCAATGGTCTATAAAATAAATGTAACTGCAAGCAACTTTGTTTATTTTTAAACAATTTACACTGTGACAAAGTGACGTGCTCCATCTAGCTCTCAGTGCACATTAGTTTACCATGTTGATGTCAAAATAACAATTTACTTCTTCCCATATAAATTAGGCCCTGCCTCCTCATATATAACTTTAACTGAGCTGTATTATGAATATTCATGATTTTACTTGGAACATTTCGGTACTTTTCAAATGATTTAAAGAAGTTGCTAGGTACTCCGAATAGGTTTGTATCAGTTCATCAAACTGATGCACCTTTTTGCAAGGAATCAGTCTTTATTAGGTGATTTTTAGGGAATCAGCAAAATATATTGATCTACTCTTATAAAGTGAACAATCAGTAGAGGTACAATAAAAATAAATGATTACATCTGACCTTGAGATTTGACTGATTTATCACAAAATTAGTTAATATTATGTTAATCATTAATCTGTGTCATTTCTATATGAGAACTAAGATAAAAGAAGTGATGTATTTAAGCACATTAACATGGTGAATGATATATTCAATTTGTCATTCTGAACAATAACATATTGCGTTATAATTCTCCTTTCTAGTTATCATCTTCTCAAAATTTCTGAGAGATACAGTTGGAATTCTGTAACATAAAATTTATATTCTCTTACATTCACACAAATATGGGTGATTCATATCCTAACATTCTAACAGTGTACGAGAAAACAGAATTTGTAACTTACCTTATATTCTGGAAAAATACATATTCTTTTTAAGTAAATTCTTGCAGGACAATCCTGCTTCTTGGTGTTTTGCACCAACGTCCTGCCTTTTTGTAAGTAGGAATGGTCTTTTTTCCCTTCCAAGGTCTAGGAATAAAAGCAATCTCCCAAGTGATACATTTTCTTATGAACCACAATATGAAGACATATATATACAATAACAGATAATCAAGATACTGAACTAATGACACTGGGAATACACAGAAATAGGACTCACTATATGTATGCTTGTGTATTGAAAAGAAAATTCTGATTCAATACAATACCATATTCTTTACAGTTATGGAAGATATATTGAAATTTTGTTTCCATTCTATCAATGGAAAGGCTTTATCAATTAAATGCATAACCATTAAGAGGACTGAATATCTAAATATCTATCTTATAGTTCTTTTACTCTCAATTCAAACGCTACTAAACCCTATTCACTACAGTAGACAGGACTGACAGGACATGCCTCACAGTGGTCTAGATTCATTTCATATACATTAGTTTCGAAACATATCGCAATACAGTTAAAAATTATCGCTATACAAAATTCCCAGTCAATACCCATCCCTATACTGTGTGCGTAATAGTATTTTAAGATACCTTTTCCAACTGATACTTCAGCTTTTTTTTAACATTCCTGTCCGGTCCAAACTGGCACTCCCTCACATCCCAACCTAATATCATAAATGGCGTTCCATTATATTGAATTGTTGGTCCTTCTCCACGACTCACATCCTCCCACTTCACTCTGCGTTTACCAAAGTCTGCTAGTAAAATAATATGCAATGAATGGTATTTTTTTCAATAAATAGACTTCAAACTTGAAAATTGAATAATTTGTTTGAATAATAACACTCTGAATATTAAACACAGACATGAACACATTTCCTATTTATTAAACATAGTGAACATAACAAGAAACTTACCGTTGATGTCCTCTCTGAATCCCTTATTCCGACGAAAAACAGTAAAACTTGTTACTGTCTCAACTTGGAAATCGTTTATTCGTTTTTCTGCGTCTTCCAGGGATGTAACAACAACGTGAAGCGGAGCTTCAGCCATACCACTACTGTAATTTGACACTGAATGTGTGCATGGTGTGCATGCAGATGATAATTGATAAATTTCGCAACGAAAGGTCACACAAATCAATTAAACATTCATATCAACATATCATATATGACGATTCAATAGTTGCTTTCTAAATTTTGAATGAATTGACGAGTTGACAGAACCCTCCAAAGTAAAGCTGGAATTATTTGTTGCTCGAACCCGATGTAATAAATTAGAGGTGTTCCGAACGGCGACCTCCCTGTACGTGATCTGAACTAGCATTCACCGTTATTATTGCAAAGAAGCTTTGATATGCTGCCATGCCGATCGGATCATAGGAGTTCGCAATTTTATCAATAAAGTCAATAAAAATCACTCGATTGACCAAGCCATGAGCTATGCGTTAGCATAGCGAACAGGAATGCAACGCGTTTTTGGAGAAATCGACCAATTTGCTTTTTCCCACCGCTTATTCAATACAGCTCGTCAGCATTCGTATCAAACAACATTTTTCTACTAAAATTTGCTTTTTAACCCTTCTCGAATGCTGTCAATACCCACTTTCTTCGATTTCGCGTAAACAATCGTTTTACCGAGAAGCCATTGCGTGACGTCACATGAAAACCGAACCCGATAAATAATTATAAAATAAAAAAAAGATAGAGAATAAACTTTAAATTATTTCCTGTTGCTTTAAATTATCACCAACTTACCAAAGTGCATCAGCAAAGTTGTTCGACACGACGAATTTCTTTTAACTTACTCAATATTTCAATTTGCGCGCACATGCAACTGAAATTATCGCCCTTTGTTTTTGAACAACTCGACATGGTTTCTCGCCATAAAAAAATAATCGGGGGATATTAAGTATTATGATTTATTCAATTTATTTATAAAATAAAATATGTACAATAATTGACAACGTATTTATTATTTTTTTATTTAAAACAATCGAAATAATTATTTGTCGGGTTCGGGTTTGATGTGACGTCACGTAATGGCTTCTCGGTAAAACGAATGTTTACGCGAAATCGAAGAAAGTGGGTATTGACAGCATTCGAGAAGGGTTAGAAAGCAAATTTTAGTAGAAAAATGTTGTTTGATACGAATGCTGACGAGCTGTATTGAATAAGCGGTGGGAAAAAGCAAATTGGTCGATTTCTCCAAAAACGCGTTGCATTCCTGTTCGCTATGCTAACGCATAGCTCATGGCTTGGTCAATCGAGTGATTTTTATTGACTTTATTGATAAAATTGCGAACTCCTGTGATCGGATCGACGAAAGGAATCACGCACCCTAGGGCGCGGATAATATACTGTTTGGTACATTTGGGACTTATTGCTGATGAACTTCGTAAACATAAACAAAAGCAATCGTAAACAGTTAAGAGCCATTCTCTGTAACGACTTGAACTTTTATATAGGAGCTGTGGCACGCATAGTCTCAGAATTTCTCCAAACTCTCTATGATAAAAGTCTTTGATACTGTAAACTCAAATCAGGCAGAAAATCGTTGCTACGTGACATGGTTACCATGGCAACATGTCCTAAAGTTTGAAAAATGGCATTTTTCAACATGTTCAGAGTCCCACAGTTAACGTTTGCAGCAAAGCAAACAAGTGGCAATGATTGTTTTTGAAAGTTGAAGGCCTAATGTCTTAAATGCGTGATAAACATGTTTGGTAAATCAACTATTACATTCGTTACTATGGAAACAAAGTATTCAAAAGTAACAATTTTGCCCATTTAATTTTATAAAATCATACACTTAAGAATAAAAAAAAATATAGGTTGAAATGCAAGCAAATAATAGACAAAAGATCCTTGCAACATATACCAAGGAAGAAATATGATATTTCTTATAGGATGGCAATGGTTGCCATGGTTTTAATACCAAGAACGGATTTTAAATTTACTCTCTTAGTGTTTAAATCTTATCCTATCTCTTTAAAAAGCATATTTTTGTATAACTAATGATCAATTTTTAAAGACGTTCATGTGACCCTAATTTTCACATTTCAAAAAATTCAAATTCAATTCTTTAAATAGTGCGTTGCTATGGAAATAAGCCGAAAAAATTTGCATAAAAATCTTTAAAATATTCTGTTTCCTTGGATACGTACCCTTGTATGTAGAATCCCAAAACTTTTATGATTGATAATTATGAACAACTAACCTGACTTTCAATTTTGACTGCCACCCAATCTCTAACCGGATGCAAAAAGCTGGCACATAGGGTTTAATATTGATATAAAATTTACAAAATCGAACATTTTCCCTTCTTGGTTACCATAGCAACAGTGTTGTATTTTCCAACAAACGTTATCAATATATGATATTCAACTTTAGTTCTTCCAGATAAGTACTATTCAAGGTGAGTCAAATAATATGTTTCTTGAATAAAAAGTAAGTAAATTCCTATGGCAGCAAAAAAATATCACTTTAAACAACTGGTACATTGTTTCCATGGTTACACTGCAAAGTAACAATTAATCCCAATTTTTCTTATGTTGTCGGTGTTGCAAGGTCCTAAGGATGTATATGTGCCAATCATGAATTTTATTGTTTTTCCTGAAGACAGTAGCATTAACCCAACCTTAGCAACATATTTTGCATGGTTACACTGTGTTACCATGGCAACCATGAAAGTTATTTTTAGAATAATATTGCCAATACCTAATTACTTAAGGTCAAATATTTTTATTGTTTTTTCTTATGTTGTTGATTGACTTTGATCATTTAACACCTATCATTAGTGAATATTGAGCGTTTTTCTGCATTTTTCAGCATCTAAAATGTATTCCAAATGTACCCATGGTTACCACTTACTTAGAGATAAATTCTAAATAGTTTCTTTATAGCATAAGTGGCAACAAGGTGTCAGGTTTTTGTGACAATGGTTTGTTTGTTTTTCTTAATCTTTATTAAGGCTTAATAAAGATTCAAAGTATCTGAAAATCTCAATTTTTCCAACTTTTCTGGCTGTTACCATGGCAACCAAGACCCATAGCAACGAAATTTTATTTGATATATGTTTCTGGTGTCAAGTTGTAATAATGAGCAAAGATTCATCAAAATCGGTGACCATGCGTGGCAAAGAAGTTTAAGTGGTTACAGAGAATCGCTATTAAAGCGTGACTTGGGAATGTAAGATGTCGAGGAATTTCGGGGTAACGCTAATTACCGACCTCGTCCCAAATGATGAACTTGGTAAATATACAATGGATGATAAAATAAAACATACAATAAATTAAACATATAATTTGTCGTTTTATAGTCCAGTATTTTACAGGGAGTATTGTTTAACTTGTACTGTGTTTCTACAGAAGTGTTTCCCAAAGTAAAGGGAATAAATAGGGAACCGTAACAAATACAAATGGAAAAGATAGAATATTTCAACGTTTATTCAATTTTGAGTCAAGCTATACAAATAAAGAATTTGTGGCTTTATTTGTTCTCTTGTATAGATTTTTCCATAAGCTTGATTCAGGGTACTCGGAAATAATTCTAATCCATGGAGGATCAATTTGCGGTCTTCTGTCAGGTTTGCCATTTTGGCGTGATCGATATTAATCTGTGATATTAATGTCTCGAGCAAATGGTACCGCATGTATAAAAAAATGTTAAAGCTGCGAAGAAAGTTATACTAACACCTTAATACCATAATAACCTTTGATAACATTGAAATTGGCTAGGACAATGTAAAATACGTAATTTTTTATGCACGCTTTATCTGAGATTCCAGGGCTAGATCTATTAATAGGTATCATGCATATTCATAAACCAAGACCAAAGTATACCTGTGAAAGCTGTGTGACGTAGTAAGGAATCATAACACATCGATGCGCACAACTATGCGCGATCGAATATCTGCAGTCGCAAAATGAGTATACTGGTATAGGGAAAAGAGTACTAATTAATTTCCCATAGAACTCTATACAAACCCTATGCCCTCCCAGTACTTTACTAATTCCCTTTCAAACAAATCTCTGATATCATTTGAAACTTATTAAAACACGGAAAAAAATATACCGTGCCGTGGCGTTTATAGGTCAAATTTGCAGTTGTTTACAACTAGACTGGTACCCTGACATTGGTTAACGGGCGCAAGCGCCCTGAAAAACCAACTTGTAATTCCTAGCGGCAGCGACTGGAATCAAGGGCAGAGAACCAGTGCTAGTTTACAACTTACAGTAATCGGCAGTAAATGGCACTCTACATCTAAAATCAACCCCACTCCTTTAGTTCCCCCTGGTATTTCAATACTTTCTGTAATATTCCCTCATTCAATCATTTATTTAAAACTAATATTTTTACTTTAAAATGAAAATATTTACACACCTGAATTCAGCCAATCAGGTAACGCCTACCCATTTACATGTTATGCTATTCTCCATCCGGTGATTAGACTGGTATTGCCTGTCTCTATCGTACGAAAGAGACAGGTGATCACCGCCATTGAAGCCAGGGATTCCTGGCTTGAGTGATGAGCCATATATCGCCGCTGTAGACTGGTATTGCCTGTCTCTATCGTTCGCGCATATCAGTCTATCGCCGCTGCTCTACGATACAGCATGGGAAATAATTACACAATAAGGCGATCTGCTGACTCAGTGAGTCAGCTTTAAAGGTGCTTGGACACAGATTTGATGTTAATATTTTCTCAAATTTTCTGTATAAATGTAATGTGATAAGAAGCTTGCTGATCTGTTAATGTCCCAAATTATCACTGATTATCAGATTATAAACAGCATTACGCCTGAAAATTTAGAATTAATTCAGCTTAGTGAAATGTCTTGTATGTAGTATGAAATGTTTAACACTACTGTGAAACAAAAATCTGAAAAAAGGAATATTTGTATGGTATGTGAAATTTGAAACAAGTTTATTAAATGTGCGATGTGGTATAAGAAATCATTGAAATACCGCGCATTCTAAGAAATAAAAGGATTGCAATACAATCCTCCCCGAATAACCTATTGCAACTTTTGTAAGCAATGAAAATTTGAGGTACCGATAATCATCCATAATATAGGGCTAGCAATTCTGCACTCTGTGATCTGTTTTGGTTTTCCCGAAATATTTAACACCCCTTCTAATGTTATTGTGATTTAAATTTAAGATACGTGGTGTAGGTTGACCGATTCAAAGGTTATAGGGTAGAACCGTTTTTATAAATAAAATTGGCAGAAAACAGGAAATTGCTATAGTCTGTTTCTTTTAAAAAGTGTCCTATGAAAAATGTGTTTCCAGACCTTTCTGAGAGATGTTCTTGATTTTAAACAGAAAAGGCTTGGGGGGGGGGGGTTAATCCTCCCTTTTGTGATAATTTACGGCGAAAATTTGAGCTCAGTAGTAACAATTTTTCCAAAATCGCCCAATCCGCTGGTAGAAAATAATGTGTAATATCTTCTACGACAAACCTTTGTTCACCTTATATGGCTATTGTTATAAATGCGCGGAGAGGATCTTACCACGAACAATTGACCAATCGTTGAATGAATAACAACGTACTGGACAACTACATGTTTACATTTTACTTCGAACACGTGGTTCAGGTCAATCTACGATCGATATAAAATGGACTGCAAACACCATTTAAAAAAAACAAAACTGTTTTTAAAAAAATATTTAAATGATTAGAAACTATGAAAGATGTCACTGGTGTTTGTTATTTGTTGATACGTTGTTAACTAGAAATATTATATAATAATATGTAGTCTGTGTTACGTTCAGAACACCAGCACTTCAAAGGTTAAGGAAAACGAGCAGCATCTCTTAGGCATTTAAACAATTAAATGGACAGTAAAGATTTTTTTACATGACAATACCCATGGTCACATGTGTTTTTGGCCAGGGAACCCACCTGACAATTGTATTAGATAGAACAACAAAGGAATACAGACGCAATTAAATCGCCTTACAGTCTGACTTTGAGAAAAGCTAGAATTCCACGTTTATTTAACGAATGAATTGTTTGTAATTGTGAGCATGGGAATAATAGAATAAAAATGGACAGATTACTTTTCATCTACGAAATGCATGAAAAAAAAAGTTCATTGTGCCTTTCCGATCGCCTGTAGATTTGGGTTTTTCCCAAGCGTAAAATTCCTGTAGTATTCGTAGTAACCCACAATGCAATTAACTCATTCAGCTGATTTTTCAGTTTAAGCCACGTTGGTACCTCATTTGCTAATCTGACGCCAAAAAAATAGTCCCAGTTTCCTTGCAAGTATTTTTGTTCAAAAATAAATTTTAATACATAACTGCAGAAAATAATTTCATTAGGAATACTTATTGAAGTTTGAATGAATTGAAGAGAGACTGAAGTACATTTCTACAGATATTATACAGTGGTGAAAACTGAAATGCAACATAACTTTTCTGTTTACCATGTCTCCACGTGGAAGTCACTTCCTAGCCACATTTCCGTGAATAATTTACCTTATCTCGTTGTAATCTCGCCAGAGCTACTGTCAGAGCTACTCTGAACTCCTCGAGTTTTATAATTTGCAGAACACCGAAAAATAAAAGGTTCCGAACACATTAGTAGGGGTGTTTAAATTCTACGTCAGCGATACATGTAGTTTTTATCAACCAATGAGCCGGCAGAGGGCTCTTTACATTACTGATCACCTGTCTGTACATTGCGCATATCAGACATATCCGGTGATTTGGTTACTCCTTTTCTTGGTATGCATGCGCGTATGATAGCCAATCTAACGAAATAGTTCTCTATATACATGCAGTGAAACATTTATGGGTTTAATTAATGATGCGTCTTACAGAAACATACAAAATAAGAATTTAATTTTATTTATCCTATCATACCAAAAGGGTGATTTTTTGGAAAACCAATTTCTTTTTTAATACCTACATATAAACAATTGACAGATTAATGCGCGTCCAATATTTTGAAGCATCGCGGGAACGACAATTGCCACAGTGTTAAAAAACTCTAAATACCGGCTATTTTGAGCTTTTTTTCATTATAGTGGCGAAAAATTAATACATATTATTATCAATTCATTTTCTTATGGCAAACTTTCAAGGTAAGTCTTTGTTTATATGCTTTAAATTGTAAAATAAATGTTTCAGAAAGGGGTCAAGACTAATGGGTCTAAAATATTTAACTTAGTTTATCAACTGATTGCATTTTCATCACCTTCATTCATTCCTTGAATTTCTTTACGTATTTTCAATGTCAAGGAAGCCTTACTAGTGCCATTAATGCCCCGAAGGACCCCCCCCCCTCCGACCCATCCCCCATAGAAAATGACCACTTGGCGATCTAATTTTCCGTATTCTCAGTCCGAAAATTGCCAAAACGAATATTTTTGCAATCCCAATCCAAGTTCTATATTTAGAACAAAAATTGCATGGACTCTAGACGTACCATGGTAAGCTTGCAAACGTGGTTATCTGTATAATAATGCAAAGATCTAGCGTATGGATATATTTTAAACATTTTATGTTTACAACAACCTTGACTTTAGTATGATATTTTTTTTATTTTTATGAATAATAAACGGACTATTGATATTGGTAATGTTAGCTATTATGCACGATATCTTGTACTCTAACCATACTAAGAAAAGATCCGAGTACGTGAATTATTGCCACAAATTGCTTTATCCAATCTTATCATATGCTAAATCAGATGGCAAAATACTTCCAATAATATGGGTATCTGCATTTCAGTTGAACGCGCTATTCAATGAAGAAATTAACAACTCTGTTATTCATGGTGAATAAATACATACATATTAACGAGAGCCTAAAAATAGTCCATGACATGTTTGAGGAATCCGAGATAGTTTCCATCGATTCAAATGGTTAAAAAAATTCGAATATGTCACAAACTCAGCAAAATTAAACAACAATGGTAACTTCAGTTTATTTTCCTGTATCTTGGTGTCTTAAGTCACTGAAGGTTAGTTTCTGCGCATGTGTGCAGCTAGTTCAATAGAACTTGAGTAGGTAAGTAGGTTACACAACTCCTATTTTGTGTGCTGTTTTTACTCCTGAAAAAAATCACTGTCATTTAATGAATTTCAGCCTGAATCTATATGATTTAAATGTTAAGCTTATTTTATTTTGCTCTACATAAAGGACTGATATCTAAATAAATTATACATGTTATAGATGAAGATAATTATCATAGATGTTTAGACATCAGGACCCCATTATGTTTATATCTTGTTCACCCAAAGTTTAGTATTCCTTACAATGATCTAAATATATCCTATTCATGAGAACTTCCTTCGGTTAACTTATGAATTGCTTTTGTATTGGCCAATATTATTTCGTCTCCTATACCTATATTTAGTTTGATAAATAACTTGCAAAATGGCGGATGTGAAAAGAAAACTAGATTGAGCTAAATGTTAATTTAAAATTCTTTAAATATCTTCTCTCAAGAATCACCGAGCCAGCATAGATGATACTTTTGTGGAAGTATAGATTTTAAATTGTTAAAGTCAATATAAAAGTTTTACATTGAAATCGTAGGAAAAATTCTTCTAAAATCCGGGAGGTTTTCTGTGGTAGTGTAGATTCTAAATTTATCAAATCATGGTTCCTGGGATAGGGTAAGATCACAATAGGCGATCAACGTTTTACATTAAAGTACATAGGTAAAGTTCTTTAAAAATCTCAAGAACTATTGGGTTAGAAGAGATAAAACTTATGTGTAAGCTTCCTGAGGCAGTGTAGATATAAACTGCTTAAATCAGGGTGTGTCACAAAAAGGGATCAGGTTTTTTTTTACATAGCAAGATTTAAAATATCATTCATATAGAAGCATCCGCAAGTAGTGAAGATTCAAGTTAGTACAAATCATAACCCCTGGGAGTAGGGAAATGTCACAATGGGCAACAAATATTAAACATATGAATACATGGGAAATTTTTAAAAGTTCTTCCTCTAAAGAATAGCAAAGCCATTTTTACTCATATTTATAAGGAAGCATACTCAGAGTAAGTTCATGTTTTTCCAATCATGACTTCCTGATATAGGATAGAGCCATAATATGTGATCATAGTTTTTCATTTCAAAATCATATAGGAAAAAGAATCTGTTGATGAAGAACAGAAGGGCCATACTTACTTAAGTGAGCGTTATGTTCCATGGGCCTATTTTTTTCTTGGCACTGCTGAGAAAATACATGTCCATGGAAGTTTTAAAAAAAAGGTTTTATGTACTAGTACTTGCAATGGAGAACTTACATTGTACAGTGAAACTCTGGGTAGCCTTAGGATGATCGATTGTTTGTATCATACACCTTAACATTAATTCATATAAAAAATAAACCCTTCCAATTTGTAAAAAAAGAATCCTGGATCCGCCGCTGTTTTCTGATGATGACACCTCATTCAATCCCCACACCTTGGCAAAGATTTTGTCATGTTATCCATTCCTTTATGGAAGAGAAATAAAGAGAGCGTTAACGTCCCCGGGTCTACATTGCATGTGGTTTGTTAATCCCAGTACAGTTTTGACAGGCTAGTTCCTCCTCCTTTTTCCGCAAAACTTACATTAACGACTTAGTCCGTTCACGACTCCCCCCCCCCCCAAAAGAACATCAATTAAAATATAACTTTTGACTTCTACGCCTACATGTATATGCAAAATTGTGCATAGTGTGAAAACTGTACTTGATATAAGAAAAAAAAAATGAATTATCAATGAATCCCTCTCAGCCATATCTACATCTGCGTTTGCAAATAGCTATACTTTTTCCTAAATCATCAATTCCAGAACAAATAATAATGGTCTGATCAACAAAGTTAGATTTCCCTTTCAAAGACGTCTAATTTGATTCTAATTCCTCTAGTTTTTTAAAAATAATTTTACCCCAAAATGACTGAAATCATGATAAATTCAATACTAACAAAAACAAATTAGTTATCAAACGTTCTTTCCCCTTTTTGGTTTCCTTTTCGTTTCTCTTTTTTCTTTTCTTTTTTATTTTTATATCCATACGACGCCTTTACCTTTAGAATTATAGATACACCATGGATTTGGATTATATACAGTGAGTTTGAGGAGAATCTTATTTTCTCACAGAAAAACCTTACTGACTGTTTAACCTTTTCTCTTTGCAGATCAAATACACCAACATCCTACGGATGATGGAGAGGGTTGTGCTGCAATTTACCAAACTTTACATGAAGTCATTTTAAAGAAATCAGGTAAGGTCAATGATCAAAGCCATGATATTAATCCCTGTAACAAAAAATAGTAAAAGAAAAACATGTGCCTGCATTGTAAAAAAAACTAATTAGCAAAATATACTTACGTTATTTAAGGATACAGACCAGTAAGTGCAGAACATGTACATGAGTTTGATAGATACATAAATCAGTTTCCACACCCACCACCACGGGACATTGATCATGACAACAGTGGAACACTATTATGGACAGAACCTGATATCTCTACATTCATACGGGGTCTTGCAGGTTAGAAATCATTAAGGGTTTTTTTTTTATCAAATGACAATACTTGCTGTCGCAGGCAGGCCGATTGGTCGCCACACGAAAGGGAATGCAAGGACTAAGTTCTTTGAATTAAATACATTTAATGGCTTAATAGATATTTAAAATTTCGGAATGGTTCGCTGTTTTGGTTGAATGGCTCTCTGGACCAAATGGGATCTACAAATTGTAAATTACATACATTATAACATTTGAATCTAAAATATACTAACTTGATTCGTGTTCATGCATATCACAACCCTTACTGTATACTTTACATTTTACTGCATACTGCATTTTACTGCAAATACTCAAGCATTTTACTGCAGACTGCAGTTTACTACAACTATTCAAGCATTTTACTGCATACTGCATTTTACTTCCACTACTCAAGCATTTTACTGCACAACTCCACAAAATATACGAAATATTTGCGTACTATACACACGTACTTTACACCACACAACTACTACATACTTTAATATACTCGTGTACTATTTGAATAATACTTGAAATGATAGCAATGCACATATTACTCAATCACATAATTTACATCAATATTAAGAACTAAGGTCCTTGGCCAATTCAGGAAACTGTCTAAGATAAAAGCCTTTAAATTGATATAAAAAAAACTTACCTCAAAAAAGATGTGAAAGTCTGGTCAATACTTTATATTTATGAATAATACTACTGTAAATACTTGAGCAAGGCAAGTCCGTCTGCTCTACTCAATTGCTTTACCGAAACTGACTTCAGTTATTTTGAACATCTTTTTTTTTTTTTTAGGATGGAGTGATATTCCTGAACAAGATATATCCCGTTACATAAATATTTTTCAACATTACCCTCATAGTGATCTAACAAAAATGTACAACCACATTATGAGAGAACTAGGTATGCACCTTTTAGGAAAATAAAAATGTTTTTAAAAGTTCAGATCTTATTATTATTTCGTTATTCGTCCATTAGATAAATGAGTTTATCAAAGATTAAATTGGAACGAAAAAAGAAAAGTATTTTATGTAGATTGTAGTATTTTAAGTATTCAAAAAAATTGAATTTTTATTAGAAGTATAAGTGATATTACAACCTGCTGGATAACTTAAATGACATTGTTTATTGTCATGGTATAATTTAATAATGCACTCTACAACATTTATAATGATTTAAAGTAAAATTTTTAAGAATGCAAAATCACACAAAATGTGAAAATCAATTTTCTTATGTTTAGGAAATTGAATTTTTGAGACGTCACGTATCTATATTATCGGACTACTATTTATATTGACATCCTCCATTTCGTAGGTCGTAGTCCCACAGTCCGAGAGTTGGGCCGATTGTTACCAATTCTTGAAGGTAATGAAGCTTATGAGTCCTCCCGTAAAACACCAGGTATTTTAAGCTGTTCAAAATATTCGTATTTTTCCAAATTGTAGAGAAAGGGGGTATTTATTATTTTTATAAAATAAATCTTTAGACATGGTGTTATTTTTATTTCCCTTTTCAGGACAGTTTCTCATTGAGTTGGAAGAGTCTAAACGAAATTTACAGTTAGAGAGATCCCAAAAGAATTTGTTGAAGAGTGAGCTTCTTTCGATGCATGTTGATCTGAATGACTTAGAGAGAAAGAATAGAATGCTAAAAATTTGTTTGTGCTTGGGTTTGTGTTTAATGTGTTTGATTGTTTTAGTCTTACAATAACATTGTGAAAGACATTAAAACATAAGATCCAGACAGATCTATCATTGCACACATGTTTAAATTCCGATTTACTAACTACTCGCCATTTTTTCATTTTATAGAAAGAAGTTTATTTTTTAATTTTCTTCTAATATGTTTAATATACTGTACCCCTTTTATTCTTCTTTAAGATCCAGTATACATTAACATTCCACATACATTTTAGAACTTCTAATATCCCAGTCATTTTAGCTCACCTGAGTTGAAAGCTCAAGTGAACTTTTTCTGATCACATTTTATCTGTAGTCTGTCTGTCTGTCCGTCTGTAAATTTTCAAATTTTCGACTTCTTCTCCAGGACCACTGGGCCAATTTCAACCAACTTGCCACAAAGCATCCTTGGGTAAAGGGGATTCAATTTTGTTCAAATGAAGGGGCACGCCCTCATTCAAGGGGAGATAATTCAGTAATAGGGAAAATTTGGTGACATGTTTTAAAAATCTTCCTCTCAAGAACCACCGGACCAAAAAAGTTGAAACTTATAAAAAACTTTCTTTACATAGTGTAAATTTAAGTGTGTTCAAATGATGACCCCCTGGGATAGGGTGGGGCCACAATGGCGGATCAAAGTTTTACATAGGAATTTATAGGAAAAAAACTTTAAAAATCAAAGCCATGATTAGTCATATTGATATGGAAGCATCCTATATTCATATTGATATGGAAGGTAGTGAAAATTCAAGTTTGTTCAAATGATGACCCCCGGGGGTAAGGTGGGGCCACAATGGGGATCCTTTTAGAAAGGAATATATAGGAAAAAATCTTTAAGAATCTTATTCTCAAGAACAGCTTCTTCTCAAGAACAGCAAAGCCATGTATAGTCTTATTCATATGGAAGGATCCTCAGTTAGTTTAAAATTCAACATCCCCATCCTTATGTAAACTTTTCAATACTGAACTGATTTGTGCTTTTTCCTAGTCAATGTGCTCAGGTGAGCGATGGCCCATAGGCCTCTTGTAATATTAATAGTTTTCAAATTTCCTCATGCTTCCTTCGTGAAAATGTAGAACAAGAGTTGTGATTTGTTCATAAGAATTGGAAACTTTCTTATTTTATTCATTGAAATCGTTGTTGATCTTTTAAACTCATATTTAAGATTAAGAATACATTTGTATTATATGTTTAGAGAAAGGGAAAAGATGTATTTTTCAGATTAAATGTTGAGTTATTTTTATGAATACATGTTTTGCTAGACAGGGTATTTTATGTTTGTCGTGATGATGAAATTTTATTAATTTGATCAGATTGATTTTTGAGGGCAATGACAGTAAATATTTAAGTTTTGTTTTGTCGTTATGAAGTATTTTATCAGTTAGTGATGTCATTCTGAAGAATATATAATGAATGATGAAAGTGTGATCTATTCTTACAAATGTATTTATGATATTTGTCAACTGGTGAACACCGTAGTGCCTTTTTATGAAGGCAAATGGAATATCTTAATATTATATTGGTGCAATATATTTAACAGATAAACTTTATTGAAATAAAAAGATCAGTAAAAAAAAGATCGTGATTTCCATGTGCATTTATTTGAAAGAAAAAAAAATTCTGAGACTTATACATAAGCAGTAGAGTCCCTTTCCGATATGGGCCGTAATTTCGCTGAAACTCATTGAAGCTGAACGAAATGCGAACTGGATCATATCCAAAATAAAAAAAATAAAAAAACATTTTTATTAATATATAAATTTAGTAAGTAAAGAGTAAAAAAAAATATTTTTCATTTTGTCTTTGATAGTACTGTTTTAGTTTTTAGTTCTCTCCGATTGATTTTTTTCTAACCACGTTGGTATTTAATCAAACCACTGTTAGGTAGTTAGTTGTTTTTTTTTTTTAAATAGAAGTGTACGTCGTTTTAAAAGCAGTCATTTGAACAAAATGTTTCATACGTGGAAAAATAATGATGTGATCACCATGTCCACATAGATATCGGAATTTTTTTTTTACAACAGTGACTCGTTTATTTTTTTGAAATTCTCAATTTGTTTTAATGAAGGCACGAGCATTGAGTTGACATTATCTCCCTTTAATCACTAATATTTTGATAATGTGTAAAGATTTTGAAATATTTACAATTACAAAAGTATGTATGAACCAATATTTGATCACTTTTTAAACACTGATTTATGTAGCACTTGGCTGCCTTTATTCGTTCAATATAAATATTTAACATATTATTTTTTCAAATTCTACTTTTGTTGAATTAGAATATTTTATTTATATATTTAATTATCTGATTTCCATGCAGAATTATCCTTATACATACTGACTGAGAGTATTAAAGGGTGCACGAAGGACCCCCTTTTTATCGGTTAATTATTTGCCATTACTGTTGGTTCTTTGAATTGAATAAAAAAATTACACGAGATTAAAAAAATGCATATTTTGCTTCTGGGCAAAAGTGAAAATTTATACAACCTATGGCATATATTTTTAGAAATCAGTTTAACTGTATGCAAGTTGTAATCCTTTGAAAAAAATGACCTTGCAAATTCTGAGAAAAAAATGATTAATTTTTTTTTCAATTTCTCGGTTTCTATTTCAATAATACCCATTTTGAAAATTTTAAATTATGCTTGCACAGTAAAATTTGGTGATCACTACTCACAAATAAGTTGATGAAACAAGGATATCTTCAATGTCATATACATTCAATATTTCTCAAATCTATGCTTACAATACAATGTTTGTTAAAATGTGATTGACGTTTTTCTTACAATTTGTTAGGTCATTAATACGAGGGTTGTTCGAAAAGTTCGTGGACAATGTCAATCCTCGTTGTACTACTTTCAAGAAATTTAATATAAGCACATTATCATATGTAAAAATATTTATTTTGTTGATGTGTGAAGTTTCATTCCATTCGATTAAAAAGAAATCAATTTACTTTATTTTAAAATCAGCATGTTTGGTAACCCCGGAGCAAACTAAATAATATTATAACGTCAAAAATATAGCGTCATGAGGTTCTCAAAATATTCCCCTATACATTTCACACAGTCTGGTCCAATATCTGCTCATTTAAAACATGTCTCTATCAATTGGAATTCATTTTGTTAACAATTGTTCCAGTAGCATAATTTTGATCGTCAATGTTTTCTTTTTTACCGCTTAACTATGCTTTCACAAGACCAGCAACCATGAAATGCCTTTCTCTTTCCAAGACGTTACTAACTGAACGTTTTTGGGTTGATTCTTTATAGATAATCCGTTTTCTCACAGATCGTCCTCGTCTGATAGAGAGCCTCTATCATTCAAATACCGCCTGGGCCATTTAAACACACATATGCATGACCCGCTTTTGAGATATTTCATGTTTCTTACAACATTTTCAGAATTTATTCTGACGTTTTCCAGAGTACAACAGAAAATTGTATCGTAAACCGCTGCTCCGTGACGTTCTACAGCGTCACCTTTTTCTCCTTTTTCAATGAGAACGACCTATCTTCAGAAATTGATTTCTTTTCCATGAAGCAAACTATTAAGTCATAATTTGGAATAGGGAACGATGTAACTATTCTTAATTTGATGGTCTAGATTAATTTTGATTTTCAGCCATTTTACAGAGGATATGACTACAGAAATTAATTAGTGTAATGTTTGTAAATCGCTAAATTTTGACTTGCTCCGCGAACCAATTTTTGCAGTTTTTAACTCCTAATAAGTTTGAAATAAATCAAGATATTTTAAAATTTTTCAATACAAATCATTTGAATTTATAGTTACAATATTTCTACCAAATTTGGGTATAAAATGACGTGAAATAAAAAAGATATGATAGAAGTCCACGAACTTTCCGAACAACCCTCGTATTATACTGAACTGACCACGGATTTCTCTGTTTATCCGATCATGATCAAGGACACGCAGCGGATGTGACTAGTCAACAAGGGAGGCTTACTCCCCCATGGTACCTGATCAAAATAAATATGTAAGACGTTTCCAGATTTCCGAGTTTCCTTCTTTCTCAATTTATAGTGTTTATCAGACTTTTTTAGCATGATAAGTGTTCATTATCTTCACATTTCGTGGAAAAGATCACGTCATCTCGTTTATCGTACAGTTAAATTATTAGTTAGACGTCATAGTCTACAATCAGTAAAAATTCAAATGTAATTCAGATGTAACAAACTCTTGTGTCTTTTTTTCGAGCTCACTGGGATTTATCCACTTGACAAATTAATGATAGTAAGTATTATTGATTGATAAAACATCGTCGATATCACTAAACTTGGAGTTGAAGGCCACAACAACATTCTTCTTTTTCTCATGTAAAATTAAAGTTTTGGAATTCTGCTTTATTTGAGTATCAAAGCTGGTTTGTTAATTAAGGAACACAATAAGTGTCTATAAAAATTCCAACTGATAGTTGGAAGATAGGTTTGAAAAGACCATATATATATATATATATATATATATATATATATATATATATATATATATATATATATATATATATATATATATATATATATATATATATATATATATATATATATATATATATAGTAATAGTAATAGTAATATAAAAATTTATATAGCGCTCTATCAATTTGAGTCCTCTAAAGCGCTTTACAATTAAAATATATAAAAAGAGACAATGTTTAAAATACATAAAAAAGACATGTGAATAAAATTAATCATAATGTCTCTATCTAAATATAAGCCATATTTATATTAAGAAATCACAAATTAAAAGCTAGTTTGAAAAGATGTGTTTTAAGATCCTTTTTAAAACTGGGCAATGAAATACATTCTCTAAGTTTAAAAGGCAGAGAGTTCCAGAGACTCGATGCGGCCTTGTCTAAACGACGGTCTCCGTATGTTTTCGTGCGTGTCCGAGGTACCTGGAGAAGATGCGAGAATTCTGAACGTAGTGATCGTGGCGGGTTATAAACAGTCATGATGTCTCTCATGTAGACTGGGGATAGGCTACGAAGGGTTTTATATTGGATCCTGTATTGAACTGGGAGCCAGTGAAGATGGATCAAAGTTGGAGTAATTTGGTCTGATCTTTTAGAACGCGTGATTGGTTTTGCGGCTGTGTTTTGCACTCTCTGAAGTTTGGCGATGTGTTGAGAATGAACACCATATAGCAATGCATTGCCGTAATCAAGTTTAGATGTAACTAAGGAATTCACTAGAGCTTTACATGCTTCGTCACTTATAAACGGACGGATGCGGCCAATTTTGCGAATGTTCATGTATGCTGAACGAGAAATTGAGATACATTGCTTTTCCATGGAGAGGGTTTTGTCAAAGAATACACCTAAATTTTTGACAAAAGATGCATCACTAACGATACAATCACCGAATCCTAACTCAAGACTCTTCATATTTTTAACTCTATGTTTCGGTGCAGAGACTATGAGTCTATATATATATATATATATATATATATATATATATATATATATATATATATATATATATATATATATATATATATATAGTATACCAATTATTATTGGCGACATCTTTTATTCGCGATTCGTCAGTTTGAAATCAATCCGCGACGATTAATTTTCGCGATTTAGGAAACATTCTCTACGAATACAAAGCAAAATAAATGGTTCGTGGCGATTAATATTAGCGAGTTAAAGTAGGTCGCAAAACTTTTATATATATATATATATATATATATATATATATATATATATATATATATATATATATATATATATATATATATATATACATATCGTCAAAAGGAACTTCAATCCTTTTAATATCAATTGTGTTCAGAACCAGACTGATTTCTAACAAAGGAAATCGTAATGACCAATTAAATGATAAAAAAAATTTCCGACTCCCATTTTTCTTTAAGAAGTAGTCGTCTATTATCTCAATTTATCGTCACGATTGATTGTAAACAGTATATCATATGATTTGATGATGCAGACATTCCATATATTTTTTTGATTTTAATTCTTTAAAAAGTTAGTAGGAATTTTTGATAATCCACATTTGATTTACAACACATTGTGAATATTTAGTTGCACAGTACGAATAAAGTTTCTCCTTAACAATGGATAATATTTTAGGAGGAGTAAAAAAGGGGCTTGGACGCTTCAAATTTCTTTGTAAATGAAGATTAGGAATCCAGTTTAGGTAAGGTAACTCGAATTCACTTTCGTTGGTTGGAATTTAAAAAGAATTAAAGAATAAAATAATTAAGTAATTTTGAAGAATTTTATCCTTCGATAGTGAACTGGGAGTATTAGTTGCATTTCTGGAAGTATGATAACAAATTCCTCTGGAAAATCGCTTACTAGACGACCTTGCGATGAGTAGGTAAATCAAAACTATGCATTCACTTAAAAATCTGTGCTTAGGAAACAAACATTTCCATAACGCGTTTAGATATGAAGTTTTAGTTGTTGAACATAATATTAAACACGTTTATTAAACGTGTTCATTTATGTAAGTTGATTGATTGATTGATTGTATGTTGTTTTACGTCCCATTCGAGAATTTTTCACTCATATAGAGACGTCACCATATACCGGTGATGGGCTTCAAATTCAGACCTTTACTCGGCACTCAGGGCCATTGAACAGTGAGGGATCTTTATCGTGCCAACGCCTACCGTGACACGGGGCCTCGGTTTTTAAGGTCTCATCCGAAAGACCTG